AAATATATATATTTTTAGAGAGTATCTTGGTGCGCTGGGGATAGATGCCACCTGGCCAGACTCCGATGACGATGGCGACTTTGGCAGCTCAGCTTGGCACAAATCTTAACCGCTCTACGTACGTCACGATATTCGGACTGTGGTGTGTGGGGGGGGGGGGATCGTGGAATACGGAATTGCGGCACAAATCTTAACGGCTCGACCTACGTCTTAATATTTGGTGTATAGTGTGATGGGCAGGAAACCCATCACCAGTGCGAAATTGGAGATCACAGGTCAAAGTCACACAGCTGATCTCTTATTATCTGTATATTGTGTAAAAAAAATCTTTCCCGCACCTATAGGGCGGTGCCTATCTCCGTTTCTGTAACCCTGAGGCCCCGCAGCTGCTTTCACAGTAAATGCTACAGTAGGGGGTTAGTCCACTGTAGCACTGCGAGTTAACTTGCCACACTCTATCTCTATTGCTGAATGCTAAGCAGAGAAGCCGTGTACCATTTTTCAAGTCTTTGGTATGACCCGGCCGTGAGTTGAACCCCAGACCTTCCACATACGAGGCGAGCACTCAACCATTGAGCCATCGCAGTGGTGTTGTATAGCAAACAGGTATAGCAAAGCCTATCATAGATTTTAGATCTGTATTAGTAGTATATCCTAGATATATGCTCTGAGCGCGAATGCGGTGGCAGAGGGTGCACTTGATTGGTTATCGAGTTTCGAAGTTATCGGTTATTCGGTTATCGAGTTTATCAGAAGAATACCTGGCTACAGTACACGTCAGTTGAGCGCTGTCGCTCTGCGGCACTTGTTTTATTGTATGCTTGTATTGATTTATATGTGCATTGTACAAGTGGACTGTTTGTAATTTAAGGAAAATGTGGGATTGGTATGATTATATGTGCGCATTTGTTAAGCTGCATTTACAATTCAAATCACGGTTCGTTACGGTTTCAGCAAATCGTACCAATTTCACGTGCATTCCAACTTGCCCCCCCCCGCGACTTGACCCAAGTGCATTCCAACTGATCGGCTGAAATTCGATTGTGTTGGAGTCGGAGTCGGGGTCAAGTCGCCGAGTTGGAGAAATAGAATGTTGTTCTCTTAAATCTAAGTATATTAAATAATAAGCAATATATATTTTGTATTTGCGTGTGTATCTAAATATGGTATAAACATGTATTACCGTACTGAATAAAGTTATCTGTTGTCTATATTCTAATGAAAACTTTCTTGAATTTCATTCTGGCATCTATCTAGCTACTGCAGCGCCGTCTTGCCTCACAGTAGGAACGGAAAATGATACCGAAACAAATAACATACCTTGTGAACTTGTAAATGATACTGATAGTCTTCAAAGTACAAATGAGCTATACGAGAATGCAACTGAATGACATATATTGTGAAATTGAAAAATTTTTCACATATTTTTGATAATTTATCAAAAATCAGATTAAAGATTGTAATATATGTAACTATTAAATTTAATGTAACTACTTGTTTTTAACTAGTTCAACGTGCGTCGCGCTAGTGTTAAAGTGATTACGTCACCGTAAATAGTAAAAAATAAACACAAAATACAAGTGATTCTGTTCACTTTTTATGGTTAAATTGCTGCATTATACATCTTATTTTACTATATTGTTCGATGTGAACATACACTCGTGACGCATACATAGCCATACAAGTAATTAATGTTATTAACACTAATATCAAATCGTCCAGGTTTTTTTATTTTTAACTAGCTGAGAAACAATCTTATCAGGTAAGAATTTGACGATACGTTTAGTCCCGTTAGTTCTTACTTTTAATGTAAAAAAATGCAACAAAAATTTTACAAATTTTACCATAGAAAATTCGTGACGTAATCACTAACAAACAACTGTGCCTACGTAGTGAATATAGAAATAAGTTGTGGATATGGAAATCAGTCAACCCTAACCCTAACCCTATCCCTAATTCTCACTATCTCTCCCCTGTGCAAAATTCCAAATGTGCTACCAAACTGCATGCAGCGCCCCCTTCCCACACTCAGGATATACGTAGAATTGAGCCAGAGCGAGAGCGCCATCTGTCGTGGAGTTTGATGTGCTACGCGATAATCCGCATGTTGTTAGCGATCCCCTTGGACTAATTATCTATCGTTGGAAATAAGTTTCATCGGTGTAGAGAGACATCTTTTGTTAGTTTCTTTATTAATTTAGAAGAGCAGCATAAGAGAAAGAAGCAGAACAGGAAGGAATAGTAGTACAAACAGTATTTCATTCACTAGTCGTCTGCTAAGGAGGCGATCACTGCGCCGATCAGACTGTCACTCGCATATCTCGTTCGCACTATTATATTGATGCACTAATAATACTAGTACAATACATATTATACTATTGTAGATAGCAGCAGTAGTAGATACAGTAGATAGCAGTAAGACGAGACCCCGGCATGGAAGACCGCAGAGAGGCAGGTAGGCTAAATTTATTTTGCTATAGGCCCTAACTTATAAATCTTAAAAATTCCCAAAATGCTTGCAGCCGGACTTACACTAACTATGTACAACTAAGCCTATGCAACAAATTTTATTTGGCTATAAATTGTTTTGTGTGTGTGTGTGTGTGTCACTGTGTGAAGTATCTCAGCAAACAGCGTCAGAAATGTATGGTGGATACTGTTGTGGTTAGTGTTATTATGCCTGTTATTTTGGCTGTTGCCGCTTCAATTCCAGCTGCCAGCATGCTTCGGCAAGTTGCTGAGATTCTCAGTGGTACCACGACCAGTGTTGCCACCACCGGTGGTGCCACGACCAGTGTTGCGGTCAACCGTGGTGCCACGACTAGTGCTGCGGTCAACCGTGGTGCTACGACTAGTGCTGCGGTCAACCGTGGTGCCACGACCAGTGCTGCGGTCACCCGTGGTGTCACGACCAATGTTGCCATCCCCACTGCAGCTCCACCGAGGGCAAATCCATTCCGCCAAGATAGGAACCGTAAGAAAATAATATAAATTTACTTCCAAGCAATACTACATTATATGCAGTTTCCTCTGAACTGTGTATTGTGTCATTTATATATTTACAAGAACAAAAATCTTGATCTGTTGGCAGAATTTGTTACACCTGACCAATATCATCTACAATACATGCTAAGGTAATGTGGGGTGGGAGTGTTCGTGAAGCATATACGTTCCTTGATATCAAATTTGATGTATTATATTAATTGCAGTTATGTCTGAGCTACAGCGCAACTTTGCGCCATATCCACATCAACCAGCAAAAAGGAGGAAACAAGCTCCACTATTCTTAAGAATTAAAAACTCGTGGACTCACTTTCTGCTGCCTCTCACAAGTGGACGCAGACAAAACTCCAGATACGTGTGAGAGAACGGAACTGCTAGCTGCAGGGTTAGGAGTAGCCAAGTTGACATTTCCAGGTAATCTAGTATTTGGCTACACGTCCACGCATATATCACATAAGAGTTAATATCATATGATCTTACATAGTATGACCATTTCTTGGAGCTAGTCTGTAGCAAAGATCCTATAGCAAAATTTGATCCTACGGCACTATACGATATTTGGTGTGTAGTCATCCAGCCGCTACGATGGCGTAATGGTGGAGTGCTCGCCTCGCATGCGGAAGGGCGGGGGTTCAATCCCCGCCCGGGTCATACCAAAAGACTTGAAAAATGGTACACGCTGCTTCTCTGCTTATCACTCAGCAAAAAGAGATAGAGTGTGGAAAAACGCTTTTGATGGGAACATTATGGAGTAGCGCCCTGTGTCTCCTACTACATGCGCAACCGAAACCCCTGACGGACGACTAATTATTATTATTATTATGTAGCATAACGAGAAGCCAAGGCAAGGGGGAAATAACCTGAATTGTTACCTGAAAGTACCTGTATTCATATGAGCGGGAATGTACAAGTCAAGTGACTATAATCGCCTAGTTTTAGTAGTTATTAGCAGACAGCTACTATTAAATCATATATGAACTTCATTCTCTATATGAGATTCTGTACGTTGGGAATACAATGTCAATAGCACTTACGCAAACGTCTGTTTTTGATTAAGGCCAACTATAAATAGGCCTACCTCGCAGGTGCCTGAGGTGGGTGGCTGATAGCACAGCATGGGCTAAACCATAGTTCGGATTATCTATTCCCTGCGGTCAAATGTATATTGCGCTTTTACTTTCTCAACTTCAGTTTAACCAATCTTGAGATAAGTAATTGCAGAAATGAATCGTCAAATCTACCAATGAAAATTTGCCAGTATTGATTTGTACTGTCCTTGGCATGGCTCTCTCCGTCGACGTTACAGCTAGTAGTAGTGTGCAATGTCGGGATATGGTGGAGCATGCTGGCTTGTGGACACTGCAGAGCCCGATGGTTGACTGTCAGTCGAAATGTGTTGATCCTCTCCGACATTGAAGAAATCTGTACGTTATACGTGCATCTGCCTTACCTCTGCCCGCCATCTTCGTCGAAAGTTTGGACGCCGCGCAGCGAAATCGGAATGTACATTTCAATCGGTGACATAACTGATACAGTAGCGCGCCGTGTGGTGCAGTTATTTGTTTATAAACAATTTAGTCTGACTGATTCTCTTCCTATCTCTCCTCTCGCCCGCTCTCTTTTTCTCTCTCTCGCCCCCTCTCTCTCTCTTCCTCTCTCTCGCTCTCTCTCTCTCTGCAATAAAAAAAATGTTTGCTGAAATGATGTGTACGCAACTGCGTATCTGCATATCTGCGCCTAACAAAGGTGTCACTACGTATGACTTAAATGTTACGTTTATAACCGTAGCAACAGACCTCAGATGAGCCCAGACGCTCTGCGGCTCTTGTTATTTATATAGTTTAATGTCTGCATTGTACAAATGGACTGCTTGTGATTTTAAGGAGAATTCTCAATCGTATGGAGTGGATTGGAGTGGCTCTGCAATGGAAGCCACATCGACCTCATGCGTGGAAGTGCCAGAGACGTCTGCAATACCTGTAGAGCTGGTAGAAATTGTGTGTCAGAGCATTGATCCTCTAGCTGAGTCACACTATTACGGGAGGGATATTTATGAGGCAGTGTTGTTGTTAGGTGAGCGATATTAGACAGACGAAACATACCAACTGAACTGCCCTAATAATGTCCTTATCAAAGTTGGGTTGGATATATCTAACCCAACCCTGATAAAGGCATTGTTATAGGCTTACACACATACATGAACATTACAAGAACAAGTGCACAAAACTGTTTAATGACTGTCATGATACTGCCAGAATAACACATTCCTATAACACAACCCTGAATGAAGAAGTACATTTCTCAATTACCACAAAGAGTGAGAAAGCAAAACTTCCGCCACAACTTAAGCACAATATGAACCAAAAAAGCACGTCAGGAATTTTCTTTATGCTTCATATTTGCCGAAAAAAAGAAAAAAAACTGCTTAAAATTTGAGTCGCACACGATTGTACATTTTGCGAATAAGGAACAATAACTAATAACATACGGCACTTAATAACAATCCCTGACGAGCTTTTCTACAGCATTATGTTTCAATTAAGACGAGTGTAAAACTATATTATTCCGAGCTGTAATCGTAGAGAAATATCCATTTCTCCATCTGCCACTGTTGCAGAAATGGAAACTGAGAAATCCGCGCTTGTCTATTTTTCACACTGATCGACCGCCTATGTGCAAAATAGGTGAACGTATGTGAAACATCTACTGTTAGTACGCACTGTGACACATCCCTGACTAACTGATACAGTAAAACTCGCATAAGTCGTCATCGGCTAACTTGTCAATTCGCATAAGTCGTCATGGAAGTCAAAGTCCCGATTTTCTCTCATAGTAAATCCATTGGAATAGCCCCGCCTAAGTCGTCATTATGTACAAGTCGACGCCCTCAGACAGGTCCAATGTAATACCAGGCGTCCCAAGTGTCCCGGTCTCACCCACTGGCTGTCGCAGCTCGCACATCCCCCAGATTCCCCAGTGTATGCATCCCAATGCAGGGTGCGGAGTTGACGCGAGTCCGGAGTAAAATGCTCCCTGATTTACTGCCAGACTCCCTGATTTGACATAATAATGCAGGAGTCTGCGTGACTGCCTGAAAATTCTGCTATCCTAACTATTAGTTCGTTCCAGAGCACGGCCTCGCGGAATTGCCGTATGTTTTCAGCAAGTGTTCCAAGAAAATTTGGCAGACACGCACCGCAACTGTCCGGCAATGTCCAAACGTGTTATCAACAGCGGGTGTTACAGATAGCCAGCGTGTGCCGCTGGTGCGTACGCTGTACGTGCGTTATGGCCAACAGCGGTGTCGATTGATGTACGGACCCGATTGTTTAATTATATATTAATGCCTGTTGTTGGGTGCACTATGACAGCATAGTGCACCCGACAACAGGCATTAATGTTTTTAGTGCATCACATTACTTTGCAATCTACTCGGCAAATATGAAGTCAATAAGACAAAGTTTCATAAAACTAACAATTTCAATTTGTATTAAAACACAATGCATTATAATAACAATGCATCGCGCAAGCAATATAGTGCCCGCTCAGGCGGGCACTATACTGTTTCATAGTACCTGCGACGTTATCCAATGGAATTTCAACGATTAATCATGTGATGCACTAATGTCTGCTATATGTATGTGGCGCGAACTGACGTCGTGTGTGGAGCATGTTTATGACTGTTTAGGGGTGACGGGCGCTTGGGAGGGGAGCCTACGTATAAGTCGACAAAATGACGACTTACGCATATGTTGTCATTTTCGTATGTCGTCACAAATATATGCTGGTCCCAAAAGTGTCGACTTATGCGAGTTTTACTGTACGACCAAATCGGTCAAATGTTCTATGCACCTTGAGAGATTGAGAAATTACGAGGTTACTATCGCAATTTTATGTAAAACGCGCGAACGGTGCGTATATCGCATGACTTTACTAAGCAATGTGTCAATTAACAAACGGGCGCCTAAATGTAAAGCTGGGTTTTATTTGCCACCTATTCCATTTGTATCGTGTTGCTGCTGGCTCCAATAGAGCTCCGAAGTGATGACGTCACAGTGGCATGACAATAAACTCACTGGTTCTAAACAATCATTGGCTCGGTGAAAATGGTGTCGTGCTTTGTACCCGATCGTAACCATCATTCTGAGAGTCATTATTGCAGTTTTTATAGATTTGCAACGGGTGGACGTAAAAATCAACGATGGATTAAGATGTTATGTGTTAGAGATTATATGTGGAATGCAGAAATGATTTTTTCTAGGCATTTTGATGATGAAAGCAATGTAGTAAGATCGACTTACTAACGATGCTTTACCGCTGTCTGCAGCGCACACGTGATTTACGTACTCACAACACCATTTTCACGCAGTTAATGTTACGGAACCAATGATTGTTTAGAACCAGTGGGTTCATTATCATGCCACTGTGACGTCACACTTCGGTGCTCTATACAAAATATATCCGCAATTAATTAGGCTTGCCCAAATCCTTGCGCGCACATAATACCCTCCCTCATCCATTCCTTAAATTTGTCATAATTGGTATGGCCTGTTGGCAAGTAAAGCACATTTACACATGTGCTTGCTTTGGGTAGCAGACCACTCACAAAGTTGATGGTCGGCTGCGGGTCAAAACCCATGGGTGGCCGCATCTCAAGAGCTGTTGAGAAGATCAGGATGTCCTGCAACTCTACTGGCCTGACAACATCTGCAAAGACAATTAATATACAGATTTAAAGAAGGATGGTTGATTAAAATTAGGCTCTTACTGTACACGAACATAGACGGGTTTAGGAAAACAAAAAGATATAACTTATATATATATATATGTACTATAACTTTCGCACTGGTAATTCCTTGGTGAATCGGATATTTTTACTTATAACAAAGTTAAATATATTACTTTTGAAAGGCAAAATATAACTACCAGCACAATCATCCACAAAATCCCTCCAGAAGGCCAAGGCCATCTCCTCGGCCTGCCTGTCGTTGCTGCCTCTCTCCGATGTCAGTGACACTGAAAATGTTGCCAGCACTTCTTCGGGGGTCAACTTTCCCGCGGTCGCAATGAATGCTGGCTGGAAAGACTCCTTGTACTGTCTCACTAGGGCCAGCATGCCACATGTTCTGCAAGTATCAAATGTAATTATGTACAATACTCTATATGTCTAATTACGAATTATAGACAATTATAAGCCGTTTAGCAGAGTAAATTCATGAATTCCATGACCAACCTGAGCATAATGCATGGCATGCTATGGCTCTACCTTGTGTTATTTTACAGACTAGACAGTAGACACCCCGCAGATAAATAAATGCATAGCTATATAGACACCCTGTTGCCATGCAGTGAACAGATTGTTGGGTATACACACAATGAAGTTTAACTGCTCAGAGTTTGTTATGGCAGTTATTGTTGTATAATCACACTAAAAACCTGTGAATAGAAATACTTTGAAAAAATATTATTATATACGTAGTTATTGCGAAATGTGCAAAAATATATCAGCCACTTTGTTCTTAATTCTCTTTGTTGTGTCATTCTCATTAATTGAATGTGTGAATTCTTTTACATATGGCATATATACATTGAGAATCAGACATCAAACTCACTCCAATCCTTCCAGCAACGCGTTCCACGCATCCCCCCATTCTGCCTACGCAGAAGAATGTGGACACGGCAGCCACGATGTCCTCTTTGTCGGCTATGCAAGTGATTGGCTTGCAATAGCCGGACAACGACAGCAACATTTCCAGTTGCGGATCTGCGACAGCCTGGTGCAGCAGTGGTGTTGTGTCTGCATACACTATCTGCAAAAAAACACCAATATAAACATACTCACTTCATACATATGAGCCTATATATCAGTACACTGCTTTTCCATGACATTCTCATGGGTTCTGACCTATTGAGATAAACCAGGGAACCTCTATTACGGGTTACTAAAACATGAGGACACCTTCTATTTTTGGAAGAGATGACACAGCAAAGTGTACATTGCAGTTTCCATAATTGTAGCGTTATTACACTGTTTCTCACACAGGTATATCTTGTAATTTACCCTTTCGACCCTTGCTCTCACATCCGCATCAGTGATGTCTGCGATGGCGGCTCTGGCACCCGTCGTCCCTTCACATATCACCTTGTAGGCCAGGTGCGACATACAATGTGGGGATGGCCCTCCATGGATCAACGACAGGGCCATTAGCATGCCAGCGACTTTGTAATGGCCTTTAGCTAGAGCTGGCATAATGTATTGTATTAAAATACTCGACCATGCTTATAATGGTTCTCCTTAGTCATACATTACTCGACATACTGTTCAAAAACTGTGGAAACTGAAAAAAAGATATTAAACGCTTGAATTTTTCAAAATTTTGTTCACTCTTTCTACCAGTAGAACACCTTGATGAGATGTATGAACACTAAAGTGGTTACATGTCAGAATGTGAAAGTTACAGCTACAGTTCCTAACAAATGCACCAATGCACAGAGCAACATGTACTATAAACGTCCGGTTAAAGATACACGTAGTGTTATTTACCCGTGCTGTTCAAGGAGAGACTCTTCCCTACGGCTGGCCCGCCAAACAATCCACTACTCTCCAAACACTGGCATAGTGCTTCACGGAGGAATTCCCGTGTGGGCCCACCCAAATCCACTGCTCCCTCGCTGAAGCCCTCATCGTCAGAGTACCTGACGGAGAGCTTGGCTGTCGTATCAAATCGCCCGCGTGGGAACGATCTGAGTGCAGCCTCCCACTCTCTGCCACGGATGACATTGACATTTGTAGATTTTTCACTACAAATGACGTCGCTGCGCTGCCTGCACAGGATATCTGCCAAAGACCTGTAAACACCAGTCAAATACGATAATTACTGCCTCAACGTTCATCAACAGAAATCTGTACATATGTTACGAAAGGGTACGATAGAAGTTTAAGAACAAAAATTGACAGGAAAAAGTCAATTATTTCAATGAAATTCTCGTACTGGTCGTCTGTGGCCTGGATTTCATCCACGGACAGCTGCAGAGCCAGCTCCAGATCAGCTGAGTTGTCAAAGTCGCCATCGCCATCGGAGTCTGGCCAGGTGGCATCTATCCCCAGCGCACCAAGATACTCTCTAAAAATATATATATTTCACATCATCTATACATTTTGCTATGCTAGACACACCTCAACCCCCTCAACCATCTGTAGTTGCTCTCTTTCAATACAAATAAATCTTGGGGGGATAGTAGGGAGTTTCTGAAACCTGTATCCAGCAGAGGCGTAGCTTTGCTGCTCAGCAGTGGTGCAGGTCGGCTCTGCATCCGTAGTGCAGATCGGCTCTGTAGCCGTAGTGCAGATCGACTCTGCAGCCGTAGTGCATGTCGGCTGCACTTCGCAAGCGGTGCTTGGCTCTTCCGCCGCTGTCGGCTGCACGTCAGAATCAGCGATCGGCTGCTGCTGTTCCGCACACCAATCTTCCAATGGGGTTGTGCCCAGTGATTCGCTGGAAATCAAGCACACAAATAACCTTCCATTCTCATTGGAAATCAAAACGAGCTTATTGCTGGAAAATGTTTTTGAACTAATATTGGTCTGACAGCTTTTTATAACAAATATTCTAGATCTAGAAAACCAAATACTGCCAATTGTCTGTGTTCTACAAAGAAAAACTGAATTTAATTCATTTCTCATGTCTAGAAATGTTTTATAATTTCATTGCAGCATTTTTGACATAACAAGACCAGTTCATGCAGGTTAATATTTTTAATCATTTAGTAATTTTCTCCTATTTACTCACAGACAGGTTGACATATGACTCCGTAGGTTAGTCATGATCACCTGCACGCCACACTGTTGGCATTGAATTGTTGGTCCAGTGACATCAGCATTGAACATTGCATCATTGGAAGCACCCTGTTTGTCATTACAACATTGAAATTGCTTTAATGATAAATAAAAATAATAGCAGAACACTTTTAAAGCACAGAGTTTTTGATTACTTGAGTGCAGCTCTCCCGAGCATTCTAATACTAACCTCAATTTCAGACATGTCCAGGTCATACTGTATCGGGCGGACATAGCAGACAGCTGCATTTAAACAACAGTGTTGTGAGCGTAGGTAGGCTGGGGTGTATCCAGTGGATGGGGGCAATAGAAGCTGTAGACCACGGTTTGGGCCACCACCCGATCTCAGCAGGTCGAATCCGGCCCCAGCCACTTTGGGAAAATGCTCTTCTATGCACTTAACAAATGTAGCTGCGTCACAATTCTTGTCTGGAAAATTTATTATTTGCGCAGACGTTATATATTTATGTTAGAGAAGATAAGTTAAAATAGAGTTATCTCTTAAGATTTGAGAAAGTTTGGTTGTTTATAAACGAATGACAGACGGCCCAAAAGCTACCACAACCGGAAATTGAGGCATGTTGATTATAAGCATATCTATAAGGTATCTTTGAGGATTCATGTAATGTTGCGTATTCGCGATTATATGTAAGATCATATGATATTAACTCTTATGTGATATATGCGTGGACGTGTAGCCAAATACTAGATTACCTGGAAATGTCAAC